TCTTAGAAGCAAAGCCCCCACGGCTACTCAGTGCCATGTGCCCAGAATCACAGGGCTGTGGCCTCGACAGAATGAAACCAGCAAGAGGGGAATGCCCTGCCTTTTTGGAATGACAACCAACTGCTTCCACTCCTGACAAGTGGAAAACATAGAAGGCGCTTCCCGAAAGCAGTGGCAGAGCTTCCGGGGAGAGGTGCCCCCCCCAGGCATGGGGGAATCAAATGCAACTCTCTTGCCCATTGGAGTGCCTTTGAAGGTGGGACCCTGAACCTTTCTGGCTGGCCTGGATGCAGCCGGCCCACCGAGGGGCTCCCCTTGGAATCTCTGCCCCAAGTCCCGGTAATATAAAGTGGGGCGGGGTGCAAAGCCATCTGGCCCCGGGATCCCACCCGATCACATACAAGGTTGCAAGACCTGAAAAGGGGGGGGGGCTGCTCAAGGCCCTCTGGAGCTGGAGCTGAAACCTCCCCTGCAAAGGGACCTCGGCCCCCTTACCTCTCGAAGGGCCCCTGCTGGGGTCTTGGGGAAGCCGGAGCCCCCCGTCAGCGTGCGATACTGCCTCTCCAAGGCCAGGAGTGCCTCTTTCTCCTGCCGCCAAAAGAAGAGGAGGAAAGACCATTTGAGGAGGAAAGACCATTCGGGGGGTGCTGCCACCTGGGCCACTGCCCCTCTTTTTGTGGGGCAGATCCCCGGAATGAGGTTCAGGCCAAGCCCCCCGCCCACTTGCCTGGAGGCCCAGAAGCAGCCAGCCCCCTGTCCTGCCCGGTGGCCACACACACACACACACCCCGGGCTCACCTTCTGCAGCAGCTGCAATGTGGCGCTCTTCTCCTGACTGAGTCGCTCGGCCTCCTGAGCCGCCTGCAGTCGGATCTGGTTGGCCTGGCTTTCCAGTGCCGCCACGCGCTCCTGGGGGAAGGAGGAGGAGGAGGAGGAGGAGGAGGAAGGTGGAGGCATGTCTACAGGGCTCAGCCGCCCCCCACCCCCCCAAGGCAGCCCCTCT